AAATGTTACTTTTTGAAGTCTTTACAAGATTGTCAATTTTTGACATTTTTGTCCCTCTAGATAATTCAAATATCCTCCATATCCTTCATTAAATATAGATTTAACTAGATGAAAAAATAGTACAAAAAATTTTAAAACATCACATCTCTCATCTCACTACTCAATTGTTGACAAATTATCTTCTAATTAATGAAAAAATTGATGGAGATTTTCATTTTCCTCTCCAACCGACTCTAGCTCGCCCCCCTTTTAGCTTCTCGTCTCTCTGCTCCATCCAGACTGACGATGATGATGGCCACTCGCTTAGGTGGTTAGACTGCTTCTTTTCTTCTTCTCTTTCCTTCACTCGTCCCCCTTTCACAAATCAAAACTTGCCGGCCCTTTTTTCAACCCTAACCGCGCTGTCGCTGTGCCACATCTGCCATCTGTGTGATAGTGTCTCACTCGTACCTCCGGCCAGCCACCCACTCCCAATAAAGGAGAAGTGAAGATTGTTTGTCTAGCCCTCCAACTTTCTTTAAATCTACAGAATCGAAAGGAAAAGGCGAAAATGGTGATGTCCAAATTGGGTTTTTGTTCTGTGTGATATTTTAGCTTTTTACATAATTGATTTTAGGGATGTGGTATGTTTGCATGTGCATGTTTTTGTTTTTCAAATTTTGATTTGTTTCTGGATTTTTAGATGTGCACATTTTGCAATATATGATGGTCATGGAGGTTGGTTAGCTATAGAGTACGCTCAGAAGCATCTTCATGTTAATGTTCATTCAACTGGCTTATCACGTAAGCTAGTCTGTTTGTTTGAAGATTTAGTGTTGTAATTATTGTTCGAATTTTTATTTTAGAAAATTGCTATATTTTACATTACATTTTGTAATTGCCCTTTCATGGTTTGGCGTTTGATGAAAATTTTCAGTTGGATGTTAAGTGTTCAAAGAAGGCAGTTTGATGTAATTTCCCTAACGTTGTAATTCGGGTAGTGTATTTTATGTACTCCAGTCCAACTGTCGAAAATGACAAAGACAATCTGTCGAGAACGACATATGAACTGTCGGGCTGTAATGCAGTATGTTGTAAATTGATCCATATTTTGCTTGTAAAATTGAACATATATTTCCCTGTCTGCGAACGAAGCAGGAATGGTAATGATGATGTAAGTTGAATATAATAATGTAAGTCGATAATTTGATGGGGAACACCGTAGGTTGAGCGGATGTTACGAAATGGTGTTTATCATGCGCTGTCAATTGAGTCCACTATTTACAACGTTGCAAATTATAATTTATTTTGTAGGGATTGAAAAAAGTATTTTTAAGTGGACAAGAAAAAGATACAAGGTTTTGCTTCCTCCCTTCAAGTATTTTGAACGACTGTAAAGTTGGAGGGTTACTTGTACTGTATCAAAGTTATTGTGGTATAAATTTTTCCTTATGTTTGTTCTTCATTTTTTCTGCAATTTATCATTTACGTTAACCTGATCTTTAATGCTATGCACGTTTTTGTCAACTGTTAAGAATGAATAAAACATCTTTTGGAACCGACGATTTAACATGTCAGGATGTTGTGCAATTGAAAAATGAAAATTGGTGCATTTTATAAGTTTTTTGCTTTTGAAAAATGAGAGAATTGGTGCATTTTATAAGTTTCTCGCTTTGGGAAAAATGAAAATTATAAGTTTGACCAATACAAGTGTCTTAGTTTATAAATGAAAATTATAGAGATTATAAGTTTCTCATTTTTTGCAAATTACAAGTCTGACCAATACAAGTACACTTAGATATTCAAGGCATCACACCAATTGTCTATCAAATTAAATTTGAGATGTGATGAAAATAAGTTGGTAGTTGAGAACTAATTGACCTTAATTAACCATCCTCTCTGCCTAATTATAAATACCAGTGCAGGACTTCATATTCATAAACCACTCCTTGAAAGACTAGAGACACTGTTGTGAGACTCTCATATTGAAACAGTTAGTTGATACGAGATAATGGGTTCATCCACCTCCAGCAATAAACCATTCAACCCCAATGTGAGACTCTCATATTGAAACAGTTAGTTGATACGAGATAATGGGTTCATCCACCTCCAGCAATAAACCATTCAACCCCAATATGCATCCGTTGATACTGGGTTCATCTGCTGAATTTCCAATCATTTTATTCTCGAACGACGAGGTAAGCATTGAACACCATGAATTTCAAATGATTACTCATATTGAAATGTTGGGATTGCAACGGTAAGAATTCAGAATCAATATGTTGGCATTTAATAGCATAAAAGTAGCACTGCATAATACGTAAATCCGTACAATAGCAAAAGGTCAAATCAAGGATTTTCATCGTTTTGAAATGTCCAAATTGACAGTAAAACTGTATATCCCAACAGTTTGTAAATGTCGGGTTCGACATTTCCAACGTCTAACCCAACGGTTTGCAAATATCAAATTTGATAGTTAAACTGTCGAAAATGTCGAGAAGCAAATAGCAGTGGGTGGAACTCAGGTTTCTTCAGCACCGCACATTAAGTGTGGTCATTACTATTAAGCTACCAAATGACAAAATGAAAATGTCAGATTGGTTTTACATTAAAGAGACATTTAATGAAAACAGTGTTTGATTTGATTGGAAGAAATTATTCAAAACCTTAATGGTGATAATGACATTTTGTGAAGGACTCCAAAACGAAAAAATCAATGCATAATATTTTAAAATTTTCAAATAAATATGCTCATGTTGTATTTAATATTTACAAAACAAAAAGCTATAGGAATAAAACATAAATAATTTGTAACTACTAACCTCTAAAAATGGATGAAAAATATAACAGAAATGTCTTCTTGATCAATGAAAATGAAGAAGATGGAAAAAAGTTAGGGTTTATAATTTATGTTTCATTTTTAAATTTCTTTTATGCTTTTTTATTAACAAATATTCATATTAATCAATAAAATACATATTTATCCATGTTTTGTACATAAAATTTAAATCATATCATCAAATCAATGTTTTTCCTTCAAATCAAAAATTAAATGCTACTAAAAACGCGTCATTAAGGGTAATTTGGATTTTTCACCCTAAAAAAGTGACATTTTTGCTTACATAAAGTAAAAATGACAAATCTTTTGGAACTTTCATTTTTCGTGACTTTTTTGTAAATTCCCCAAATAAAAATAACATTTATTCTCAAAAGTAACTAAATAATAAAAAAAAAAAGATCTTTCGAGAATATGAATTCCCTTTTTTATTAAAATAAAAACATTCCGCCACCACTAACCAATTATTAGTTCCAAACTTCCAATCTCAAATTACCTGGAGGGGGGGAAATTTTAAAGGGTGAGATTTAAGAAAATCTCAATAAGTGTGTGCAGTGAACAAATAATTTGCATTTAAATTAAGGAAAACACGATTTCATATGATACGTATAGAAGACACATGATCCACTTCGAATATAAGTGGTAGCAATTCATGTGCGTAGAGCTACTAAACTCCAGCCCTCTTATCATAACATTTATGGCCCATAAAACGAATTCCAAAATTTAAAATACAAAATACGAATTCACATAAACCACATGCAACATCACTTACCTCATAATGGAATTTGATAAATAAATATGAAGTACTTGACTGTCCAAAAATCCACTTGTGAAATCTTGTGTGTAGGACAAAGACGTGTGTGAGAGAAAGGTGAGAGACATGAATTCGTGTGTGTGGAAATAATAAAATTTTGTCATGGATTAAATATGGAATATTTCCTTTATTTGCTCAATATTTATGGTATTTACAATTATTGAATTCTTGTGAGTAAGACAAATGAAGTGACGTGTGTGAGAGAGAAAAGTGTATGCCGTGAGATTGTGTGGAAAATAATGCCACGAATTGGAGGGTGGAATCTTTCCTTGTATGGAAATGAAAATTTTCCTTATTTGTTCCATATTTATGGTAATTATCATTATTCTTACTATAATTTGGCACACTTAACATATATACATGCATGTAATTATGGTAATTATCTAAACAAATTTTAGTTATACGTAGTAATTATATAATCTACTTCATTATTCCAAAAACAAAATGATTTTCTAATGAAGCACGTCCTTAACTATGAATAGTCCACGGTTTGATCCCTAAATTATGTAAACAAAACAGTTTAGTCCTTCAATATTTAACTTCTCACTAATAAGTCCTAAATTTTAATATTAATGACTATAACAAATTTTTGGGGTGTTACAATTTGCATGGACACAATCTGGCATCTATTGTCCACGTTACACCTAAAAAAAACCAGATCAACAAAAATAATAATCAGGACCATCCGAGCCCCAATTTCCTGATGAGGCAGTGGAACACGAGATGGGACGGTAACAGGGTTGATGCATTTTGTCATCCATGAAAGTTGAACTATTAACAAACGTGTGCGAGACGTGCACACGGTGGCCAGGGCCAGAATTAGAACGAATCAGACAAACAAGGAAGACTAGGCTATTGGGCCATGGCGGCGATGCGCAACTAGACTGGGCGAATAAATTAGGAGCAAATCTTCGACCCCACGACCTTTATATTTGTGGCTGCAGACTGCCCAAGAATTGACCAAACTGTTACAGCCACGCACTCCATTTGTAATTTTCTGGAATGTCGCAACCATTCAGTCACTCGTCATGTCATTGTACCAATATTTTCTCATTGTTATCAAATCAAACAGCCTACGCCATTAACACCCACAAAACTTATGTATGACCTAGAAAATATCGTCAAATATCTGAGTGTGTTGCAGTGATTTTGTGGCTTTATATATCAGTTGGTGACTTGGGTCCTGCATTTTGTCTCCATCTGGGCTCCTGCTGTCTTGGGCAGATTGGATTATTGTGTTATATTGTGCTGGAATTATAATAGCAATGAAGTATGCGGACACTTTGTGATGTATGTGAGAGTGCTGCGGCTATTCTCTTCTGCGCTGCAGATGAGGCCGCTCTTTGTCGTGCCTGCGACGATAAGGTTATTTTCTGCTTTTTCTCCAACCCTTATCTTTGTTTCATTCTTGAAATATTTTTCATAATTAAGAACGGTGAAGTTAAACTTTTTTGGTGGTTAATAACATATTTTAGGAACCGTTGCTTTAATTTCCCTTTTTTCTTTTGTGGAGGATGGCTGGATAGCATTATTCTTGATTTAATTCCAGAACAAAGGGTTGGAAAAAATTTTAAGAACTGATTCCACTTCAGATTTGTGAACATGTATAGTCGTGCTTAAAAGCTATATTTATGAAAGAGAGATGCTTTCCAAACACTAAAAGAAAAATAATAATAATAAAAAAATAAAAATATGGGGGTAGCTTTAAAGAATAGTACCTAACTGCCTGAGAATGGTAATATATTCAACCATTTGCTGAAGTAAACTATGATTAAAATAACTGGTACTAAGGCTGAGAAATTGCTGTGAAGATACTGCTGGCCATACAAAGCAGGAAGGCTGTATTTTTTTAATGAGAATGTCAACCTGTTTCCTGCATATGTCTGCCAGGGTTGCCAGACTATGAGAGGGTGGGCATTTTTTTTGTCCTTAAAAAGTGGGTGTGGCCCCCCTTGTTTGAGAGATGGTCCGGCTAGGGTGTATGCAAATGACCCTGGCAGACTATCATTTTCCTATTAACAATTGTAATAGTTATGGTAATATTTACGAGGGATTTGCTGCAATAAATGACACACTAGGTTGGTTAGTATATAAAGAGTTCATTGTTGTATTCGGAACTCTTTCCATGTTGTGGGTGACTAGTTAATATTGGGGCCAGCTTCTGAATTACCTGAGAATGGTACTCCATTGGAGATACCAGTCTTGGACCGAAGATGAAGAAACCGTTATCGAGCAAGAGGTTTAGTGAGTGTCTATGCTAGTTGATCCTCTGCAGAGACTTTCAGATTCCTTTACTAACTTGATTACAGGTGAAGTGAAAACTTGATTATCTGGAAGATGGGTGTGCCTATGTTGTGTCAGTAAATATTTTATTGATGAGACCGGCGATTTTAAGTTCACTAAGTGGAGATAATCCAAAGGACTTCAGTAATGACAGAGGTAAACACTCAATATTCCACCTCAGTTGACGACCTAGACATAGATTTTTTCTTGCAAGAACACCAGGAAACGGCATCGCCTCAGAGATAGAATGTATATGTTGTAGTGGATTCTAGGAATGCTTGGAAGAATTACCTGTACCATCACTATAATCATCCAATTCACATCCTTATTCATCATCAAACAGATGTTATTCTCAATTATGTTGATGTTAGCAAGTGTTCCTTAAGGAATAATTTTGTAATATAAACATCAATATGATGAGTAGAATTCTATTTTGAGCTAATAAAGTAAAGGTAGTATTAACATTCCTCTTTAGGCGACAATCAAGCATCATTTCATTTCCCCCATTTGCTTTAAACTGGTACTTAATTTACATATTTGAAAGCTTGGCCAGATATTCATGGTTGCTACTTGCTAGCAATTTAAACCTCCAGGTTTGGATAATCTTTTATTTTAATAGTTGCTTTGATAATTTCGGAAAAGCCTCTTATGGATTCACAGATTTCTGTGACAAATTTATGATGTTTGACTAGTTCTGGATTTTGTTGACATGCATTTATTTATAAATGGGGGGTCGCAGGTTCATACATGCAATAAGCTAGCTAGTAGACATGTGAGAGTTGGGCTTGCTGATCCCATTGATGTGCCTCGTTGCGATATATGTGAAAACTCACCTGGTATGCAGACCTTTGACTTGCATTTTCTCCTTGTATTATAATATTTTGTTTCAATAAGATTGTTAATTGTGATCTAAAAAAATAAATTAAAATAAACCATTTGTCCAGCATATTTTTATTGTGAAGTGGATGGAAGCTCCCTTTGTTTGCAATGCGATATGGTTGTACATGTTGGAGGCAAAAGAACTCATGGAAGATATCTCCTGTTAAGGCAGAGAGTTCAGGTAATTTTTTCCTTAACTCTTGTATTTTGTCTATATATGTGATTCTTTCGTATCATTAAATTGGTTCTTACCAATGAATTACTACCTTTGCTTTCTCTACAGTTTCAAGGAAGTACATCTGGGTGTGAAGAGGAGCTTGGTACCCAACTAATAGATTCAGCTGAAAACAAGAGGGAATATACTAACTCTACCAAGCAAATTGTTCAAGATGAGAAGCAGAATCTCGAGGCCTCTGCCGTTCCAAATTTATACTCCATTGCTGATGGACCTGCTAAGATGGACACTGGAATGATTGATTTGAATATGAAGCCACATCGACTCCATGACCAAGCTTCAAATAATCAGGTAGGCTTACTCTTTCTTGCTAATATAATCTTGAATTCTGCTTGTAGGATTTATTTCCTTTATCTTATACATGACAAGCTCAGTGTTTCTTATAATTGGATGCATAACTTTGGTAACATCTAGTGGATCCAGTGTAGTCTTTAGAATGTGTAGCCATTTATCATGAAAGAGAAGAATTATTTAAATCATGTCAGTTGAAGATTTTTTTCTTTCTTTTTTTGGGTATATTTTTCAGTTTGAAGTTAGTTCATTATGTAGTCTCTTCACATATCCGCCTAGGACACAAGTAACTGTTGCATTGAGAATTTGAGAGTGCCAAGACCATTTGAACATTCCATTTGTGAACAGAAAATGAAGAGATTTAGAGGTGAAGAACGTCTTTTCTTTTTGTTTATGCAATTTCACTCGAAGTCATAAGGTTAAAGCATTTTATCTTAGAATGTTATCTCAAAGGAATCAATGGATTGTTCTTGCTTGAACTATAAATAATTTTCAGAATAACGCTTTTACTTTTTTTTAGGATCTAATGCGATAGGGTGAATTGACACAGTTACATAATTGTCTTTAATATTTTGTCATTTCTTTATTTTTCGATATCTTACAAGGATCAAACTAAAGATCTCCTTTTTTCTTCAACAATTTCAGATATCTAGTTGACCTCTCACTATAATTCGAACCCAGATGAAGTTCTGACCATTTATAAGAGAAAAATGAACAAAAGGATCTTGTAGGATTCACATGAAATTCTTCGATTTCTTCAGAAGTGAATAGCCAAGACAAGGAGCTGCATTGCCTTCAATCACTAAAAACATATGCTCTTTAGTTTGCTTTTCTGTGGTTAGGATTGGGTGGGGGTAATCTGCACGCATACTTCATTTGTGCACAATTATTTTGCTCTGTAAGCCCTATCAGATTCACGTCTGAAAAAGATGTGTGTCATAGCACATCTAAGTTTGGTACTGATCAAGAGTTCTCAATCTGAGGATATATGATTTACCTTTAAGAATCCGTGAAAACAAGAAATTCACACTCATGCTCCAAGAATCAAAGTGGTATTCCAGTTGGGTGAAATAACAAATTTGTCGTATCCCGATTAAGAAACATCTCTGCTCATTTAAAGTAGCAACTAATATGTAGATAACTTCGTATCTAGTTTTTTTCGTTTTGAGAACTGTACCCATATGATCTCTAAAGCAAGGAAATTTGGTTTCTGAAAAAATATTTTGAGCTAATAAAGTAAAGGTAGTATTAACATTCCTCTTTAGGCGACAATCAAGCATCATTTCATTTCCCCCATTTGCTTTAAACTGGTACTTAATTTACATATTTGAAAGCTTGGCCAGATATTCATGGTTGCTACTTGCTAGCAATTTAAACCTCCAGGTTTGGATAATCTTTTATTTTAATAGTTGCTTTGATAATTTCGGAAAAGCCTCTTATGGATTCACAGATTTCTGTGACAAATTTATGATGTTTGACTAGTTCTGGATTTTGTTGACATGCATTTATATATAAATGGGGGGTCGCAGGTTCATACATGCAATAAGCTAGCTAGTAGACATGTGAGAGTTGGGCTTGCTGATCCCATTGATGTGCCTCGTTGCGATATATGTGAAAACTCACCTGGTATGCAGACCTTTGACTTGCATTTTCTCCTTGTATTATAATATTTTGTTTCAATAAGATTGTTAATTGTGATCTAAAAAAATAAATTAAAATAAACCATTTGTCCAGCATATTTTTATTGTGAAGTGGATGGAAGCTCCCTTTGTTTGCAATGCGATATGGTTGTACATGTTGGAGGCAAAAGAACTCATGGAAGATATCTCCTGTTAAGGCAGAGAGTTCAGGTAATTTTTTCCTTAACTCTTGTATTTTGTCTATATATGTGATTCTTTCGTATCATTAAATTGGTTCTTACCAATGAATTACTACCTTTGCTTTCTCTACAGTTTCAAGGAAGTACATCTGGGTGTGAAGAGGAGCTTGGTACCCAACTAATAGATTCAGCTGAAAACAAGAGGGAATATACTAACTCTACCAAGCCAATTGTTCAAGATGAGAAGCAGAATCTCGAGGCCTCTGCCGTTCCAAATTTATACTCCATTGCTGATGGACCTGCTAAGATGGACACTGGAATGATTGATTTGAATATGAAGCCACATCGACTCCATGACCAAGCTTCAAATAATCAGGTAGGCTTACTCTTTCTTGCTAATATAATCTTGAATTCTGCTTGTAGGATTTATTTCCTTTATCTTATACATGACAAGCTCAGTGTTTCTTATAATTGGATGCATAACTTTGGTAACATCTAGTGGATCCAGTGTAGTCTTTAGAATGTGTAGCCATTTATCATGAAAGAGAAGAATTATTTAAGTCATGTCAGTTGAAGATTTTTTTTCTTTCTTTTTTTGGGTATATTTTTCAGTTTGAAGTTAGTTCATTATGTAGTCTCTTCACATATCCGCCTAGGACACAAGTAACTGTTGCATTGAGAGTGCCAAGACCATTTGAACATTCCATTTGTGAACAGAAAATGAAGAGATTTAGAGGTGACGAACGTCTTTTCTTTTTGTTTATGCAATTTCACTCGAAGTCATAAGGTTAAAGCATTTTATCTTAGAATGTTATCTCAAAGGAATCAATGGATTGTTCTTGCTTGAACTATAAATAATTTTCAGAATAACGCTTTTACTTTTTTTTAGGATCTAATGCGATAGGGTGAATTGACACAGTTACATAATTGTCTTTAATATTTTGTCATTTCTTTATTTTTCGATATCTTACAAGGATCAAACTAAAGATCTCCTTTTTTCTTCAACAATTTCAGATATCTAGTTGACCTCTCACTATAATTCGAACCCAGATGAAGTTCTGACCATTTATAAGAGAAAAATGAACAAAAGGATCTTGTAGGATTCACATGAAATTCTTCGATTTCTTCAGAAGTGAATAGCCAAGACAAGGAGCTGCATTGCCTTCAATCACTAAAAACATATGCTCTTTAGTTTGCTTTTCTGTGGTTAGGATTGGGTGGGGGTAATCTGCACGCATACTTCATTTGTGCACAATTATTTTGCTCTGTAAGCCCTATCAGATTCACGTCTGAAAAAGATGTGTGTCATAGCACATCTAAGTTTGGTACTGATCAAGAGTTCTCAATCTGAGGATATATGATTTACCTTTAAGAATCCGTGAAAACAAGAAATTCACACTCATGCTCCAAGAATCAAAGTGGTATTCCAGTTGGGTGAAATAACAAATTTGTCGTATCCCGATTAAGAAACATCTCTGCTCATTTAAAGTAGCAACTAATATGTAGATAACTTCGTATCTAGTTTTTTTCGTTTTGAGAACTGTACCCATATGATCTCTAAAGCAAGGAAATTTGGTTTCTGAAAACAGGGATTGTAGATCTGGCAAAGATATCAGATAGCCTTTCTTACTACTCCTACATGCTTCTTTTCAAGGCTGGCTCGAGAGGTTTTTGCAACTGTTTTCTGTTCAAGTCAGTCACAAGAGTCATAGGTGCCATTAGCGTCTTATTTTATATGGCTTGCAGCTAGTAATGAAATGCAGTTGGGTAAATTTGTTTGTAAATTTTGTGTCGCCTAAGGTACACCCATGCAAATACTCTGTGTTCCTGTTGAAATATCTTTTGACATTTGAGTCTTATGATACTTTGTTTAGCTTAAACTGGTTTATTTTATAAAAATGGCTCTTCATGTCTGAGAAGTATATCTTGAGGTTCACCATATGTACATTAAGATGGCATCTCACAGGGGAGATGTCGATGATGGGATCTAAATGGGTTACTTGTAGTCAAAGGAATTGAGTTCTATGTTTGCGAACTCGATCCATTTATGATTTTAAAAAATCACCTAAATAGGGTATATGAGATTTCATCAAGCCCTTGGGTTTAATATTATCCCGGAAGATCATTGTTATATATTAAATGGCCCACGAGAAATCTAATATAATCCTTTCATTGTAGGTCGATGACATTTTCAGAAATGAATGGTACGATTACTTAGTGCTTGTGAAGGATGGTCATGTTTTATATTCGAGATTAACGATATATTTGGCACGACTTTTTGTAAAGTAAAAAGTTACTAGAAGCTGTTTTTAAGCTTGTTTGGATAATTTTCTAAAAGTACTTTGTCTAATTAAAAGTGCCTTTAGATAAAATTGACTTAAGATAGTTTCTTCAAAAAACACTACTATACAAAATGCAGAAGCATAAGCACAACCCAAATAGGCCTTTAGTATGGGCTTCTTGGTTTGTCTCAGAATTTGCATGAGAAATTCCTAGGATTATTTCATATCTATCATTGCCAACCTGTTGACGCTCTTACAACGCAGGTACGATAAGACTACCAAAATACGTATCCAAATAATCAAGATAAGGAAACATGGCTCGTCTTACATGTTCTAGTGCATACTCGACCAAACAACTGTTACAATTAGTTAATAGGTTTTAATCTAATATTTGAATCACATCATACAACAGTTGGAGGAGATTCAAATACCTAAAACATAAGTTGCTATTTGCTATCTGATGTTTACAAAAAATGTTGAGCTCGACCTCGACCTTGGAAGCCCGATCTTACCCTTCCTGAAATACCCTAAAGTTGAGGTTGGGGTCCTTGAACATGTTCGTCGGGCCATACTTCAGTAGAACATAATCCTTACCTCACGCCCTCTAGAAAATATAAATCCTCATTCGCCTATAATTCTCCATCACCTTTATCCTCATCCAAATCACTCACCTATTGCGGTTTGATTCAAACTCAAACAAAACACTTTCAATATAATTAATACAAACACTTTGCATGATAATGATAAGGATTACAAGTGGTTGGATCCTTTTAAAACTCTATCACCAATATCTATAAATACATGATCAAAGTTCATTATTGAGGTACGTTTTCACATTATTTTTCAATTCATAGTCTCACGTAACAATTCTCTCTCTAACTTGCATCGAAGGGGCAACAAAAATACACCTCGACGCCTTTGGTTCAGGTACTGAAAGAGGTCCTTCGTGCACAATCACAGTCATCAAGTTCAAAAATTAACAGGTACGATTTTTGGTAGCATCATTGGCGTTGTTGTGGGAAGCTATATCAAAAGTCATAGTTAACACACGTTCGGGACATCTTCTAGCAACCTCATTCGCCCCTAATCAGCCTCCATTGGAGATCCTTTGGCTCTGCAAGAGGAATCAAGAGAGCCGACACCATCACAGCAGTCATTGCACCTGGAGCGTTTGAGGAACTCCACCAACAAGTTGCCACGCTAACTAAGTTGTTGAGTCAAATATATCCGCACCTAGTAACACAGCCACTAGGTGGTTTTATGGCAAATGCTCGAACTCGAGTTTCACGTCCTGGGAATGTTGATGTCGAAACTTCGAGCATACCTCATATGCCTTCGAACTCGAGATCGGTTACGATGGACTCTATTAAACTCGCTAGGATCATTCAGGAAGGAATTGCAACGAGTATGCTTCAGAATACTCAAGCAACAACGGGGTTCACCCCTAACACGCCTTTTACCCCAGAAGTCTTATCATACCTGCTGTCGGATAGATTCAAGTCCCCATCAATCATCTGAACGTATACACAGACATC